TCTCATCCGACAACATGACGTCAGGAATTATTTGTTGCTCAGGGGCCTAGCCATAACAAATTACGTAAGTGGACAAGCAGAGATAAGTGAAACAAGAGCAATAAGGGACATGTCATACCTGAGCGCTAAAAGTTTTTTGTTTTTTAGTTGGTTGGGTTGAAGTCGACACCACAAGTGTGTCTCTCTTGTGACCCTAAAGAGGTGAGTAACAGTCAGAAAAAACAATACCAAAACTCAGGTATAAGAAAATAAAGACAAGGAAAAAGGGGTTTACCTTTTTTGGTGCATCCCCAGGAGCACTAGTTGGCCTTGCATCCACCAAAGGCGTCGACCACATTCTCCAGGAAGAGGTCATGATTTAAATTTTGGGCTTGGTACTCCGACCACCAGACATTGAAACTTTTGGTGGTGAAGAACGATGGTTTGTAACTGAAGACGGGCAGCTCCAGATGTTGGGTCGACCTAGCGAACTTAAGATAATTCTTATGGCCCGCTAAGTTAAGACTTTGACCAGCCCACACGATGTCAACAGGATGTCAGACTAATGGTTTTGGCAGCATCTGGCTCAGGCCAAATTATCGGGAAACTAGGTTGGGCTGGTAGTTCATGAACCCATAACCAGTGTTCCTCGAATCAATTCGGAATGATAACATTGTAGAAGTTAAAAAAGCTCTCTATATAGAGTTGGACAGTGCAGCCGTTCTGGGGGAAGCACCAGGGAAGGGGGCCATTCCAGGAACAAAGGTGTTTGCCTCAACAAACATAGTAAGGTACTTCATGAAGAGTGTTTTGTAGGGGGTCTCCTGCATGGTCAGAAGGGCAAGTCAAACACCTTCCACCGGTCGATCCTCGTTCAGGCGTTGCATCATGGCCGACACAGGGTAACCCAGTTGATATTCAAAGGTGGCATTTAGCCAATGTTGCAGCAACCACATAGGCCCCGACACATTCAGAGCTTTGGTGGTTTCATAAAGTCAAGAAATTTTCAGAGACAACAATCCCACAGAATGATGCAGAGAGGCAAAAAGAAGTTTGCCAAGGGCTACCTGTCGACTCTCATGAATTTGAATAGCCAAACTAATGTAGCTTTTGGCTATTTGCAAGGAGCCTGGGCAAAAGAGATAATATGATAGCCACAGGGTCAAGAAAGCAATATGCTCCTCGTTTGACACTTCGATCGTATCTTTGTCATGATGATCTTCGATGAAATTCTGAAAGCCAGCACGGTCGAAGTCGAAGGACGCCTCAGTTTCTAGGTTGGGGTCGAAGGTTTCACCCAAGGGGGAAAGACCAGTAATGGCCGCCACATTGAAAAGGGTAAGCGACAGCATCCCACAGGGTAACTGAAAAGTGTTTGTCAAACCTTCCTAAAAGAACATCGACACCAACAACAAACAGGGTTTGACCTTGTGAGCATTCCTAGAAAGTTGAATGGCGTCGAAGATGCCAGATCTCTTCCACTGGTCCTGGTGTTTTTTTGGACCTTGTTCAACCAGGCGAGATAGTATTTATTTCCTAGGGTTGGCATCAAATGGAACACCCTGACCTTTGGCACCATGAACTTCAAATCGAGAGTGTCACCCTTGCGAAAAGCTGGAGGAAGAGCGGCCGAAATACCAGGGAAGAACATCTGCATGTCTTCATGGCTAGGTTTGCCAGTGGGGTAGGGGCTATGAAATGCATGCAATTTTCCAGCCACCGTAAAGGGAATGATCATCTGCAGCTTCCAGGCAGCCACCACAGTTTCATCAGCAGAAATGGGGCTGGGAAGAGTTTTGTGAGAGTATGCCTCTGAGATGACAAATGCAATAGGGTTGTTTCCCGTTGTGTGGGTTTGAGAAGCAGGAGAGAAAGCCATTGAAGGTGGTTGTAAGAAAAGTTGGAACGTGTTTTGGGTTTTTTCAGAGAAAGAGCAGCAAGAAAGGGAGTATTGAAAAAGGCTCAAAAGAAAGACAAAAGGGACTATTTATAGCTGAAGCTTGCTGGAGACGAAGAGGCTAAAAGACTTTTCAGTTTCTCATTCAAAGGAAAAGTAATGAGTGGAAATTGGTTTTGACGTGGGAAAGTGGGAGAAATGATTAAGAATCCTTGAAAATTGTGGCGCAGAAAGGGTTCATCATCACGTCAGGAGGCGACTGACACGTGGTTGATTCGACAGGAGACAATGATGGCGCAGACAACTGCAACACGTCTAAAAAATTCCAAGTCTCTCAGTCGACAGGACCCTCCGTCGAGACTTGGGTTTTGGTGGGGCATCTTGTTGGCTGAAAAGAGCCAACTAAAAGAAGTGACAGCAAAGGGGTCGAAGTCGACAGGAAGTAGGAAAAAGCGTCCCAAGCCGACAGTGCTTGTTGGCTGGAAAAAGCCAATAAAAGATATTGACAGTAAAGTGTCAAAGTCGACGAGGCTCAGGAGGACGCATCCTAAATCGACAAACACAAGAGAAGGTGCATGGTCGACCGGGACATGGACTGGTCGACCAAAACAACAAAAGAGGCAGCTGACAAAGGGGTTTGTTGCCTGGCGGGAAATAGATTTGAAAAAAGAGAATATGAGGGAAGTTACAAAAGTAGTGGCCAGACACGTGGCGACACCAGAGGCGATCTGACGGTTATTTCACTTGCCTATATAAAGCAAAGCTTGGCTTGAAGAAAGGGGCGTTTTTTGGTCAGCATTGTAAGAAAAACACTATGAGTACCGCACACTGAGAGAAAATAGTTTCCCCATTCCTTACAAAATGTACGAACACGCCTATTTATATTTACCAGTTTAAGTTAAATTTACCAAGTTTTTATGTTATGAAAGTCGTACCTTTACTTTGTTGTTATTCTTCTATTTTCTCTTTGTTTTGCTAGAAGCCTAGTTGTCTTTGCCTACTTTAAAATTCATCATACACACGTTCCCAAAACTATTAAGTGTATCACAAATTCAAAGTATTTCGCGAATACACGCACGCAGAACCAAGAGTCCTGAGACTAGTTTGGCCGATTCCGCAAACAAATCCGCGTCAGGAAATCAGAAGTTGTCCGCACAAAAAATCCATGCAAACAGTGTCATACTATTTTTATATTATTAATTAACTAATTAATCAGATAATAAGTCAATTTTAATTTGTAGTCCCAATTATAAAAATGTTTTATAGAGTAATGTAACTACTATAACCTTCATGAAAACCATTAGAAATGATGCAATCATTTGTAACTCATAATATTAAGAGAAGGGCCAAGTAATATATTAATCAATACAACAATACAAGAAAACCAAGTAATAATGAAAAAAAACACTATGTTTGATTCCTATTTGTGGTTGATAGTATACCACAAGTTTGTTTATTTATTTTTATTGAGGATAGATAGAAACATATTAAAAGTAAAATAATTTCAAGTGGATGGACAAAAATACATTTGGACAATTCACCTAAATGTATCCAAATCCTCAGTATTTTTTACATTGAATTCCTTTGGCTCTATTGACTTTTTACATTTCACCATTTGGTATTTTTTACATTGAATTCCTTTGGCTCTATTGACTTTTTACATTACACCATTTTTTCCTTGTCGCTAAAACTTATCTTCTGATGACATTACTAAAGTTCTTAGCCGTCATGGCAATGAATTAAATTAAATTTCAGTCTTGATCTACTTATTTTTCATAATCGACAATATCCATTTTGACATCCTCATTATTTTACTCGGATTTGTCATCAATGGGCATCTCAATTAATTAATGAATTAATTTGATATTATATGTTATATATTTTAGAATTAAATTTTTTTAATCTCAAATATAAAAATGTTTTTGTAGTATTATACCTACTTATAATCTTCTTAAAAACTAAAAAAATGTAAACATCATTTGCAACTCATAACATTAGGAAGAGAAGGAGCCAAATAATATATTAATCAATACAACAATACAAAAGAAATCCAAGTAATAATGAAAAAAACACTATATATGTTTGATTCATATTTGTGGTTGATAGTATACCACAAGTTTGTTAATTAAATTGTGAGTTTATATATATGCACTCATTTTATTATAGATAGAGAGATATTAAAAGTTTTCAAGTGGATGGACAGAAAGTGATGGCATAGTCGGGTGTTGAAGAGCAGGTGAAGGTGCTGGTCTTATCATCGTAAGCATAGCTATAAGCAAGCGGACACTGGTTCTTGAAAACAGTAGAATAGTTTGTGGGTGGACATGTTTGTTCGGTATTGAAAGCTCCACGGCAACAATATTGATCCTTGTTGATAGCTAAACAAGCACTTTTACAAGCAATCACACTCTCATCAGAACCTCTCACTTGAAGGTCTGAAGGACAAACAAGATTGATGTTCGCTGGACAACTGGAGGTTTTGCAGTCACCACTCCCACCTTGTGGCGTTACAGACATGGGCACGTTGAACCCATCAACATTGCTCACATCGTAGAAATCTTGTCCCCCATTTGATGCTACTGTTCATTCAAAACCGACCTGACCAAGGAGATGGAAGGTCCAATGAGGTGATTGCACCTGGTTGTAACTCGAAACCTGTTGATGATAGTTGTGGTTTTTGGTTGCCAGTTAAAGTTCCTGGCCATACTGTATACCGACACCGATTCGTGAATGTCACCTTACCTCCTGCAACCGCTGGAAAAGAAAAAACATATGATTAAAGTAATTAATAATAAAATGGTGATTGTTGAACTTGAATATTGATGTACTTACCATAGAAGAGGAATGCAAAGCTAAGGAAGAGAGAAACATGGGTGCTTGTCATCATGGCTTTCTTGTCAATTAATGATTTTTCTTTTTCTGTTTGCTGAGTGATGAATGTTGTTCTCTGCTTCTAGCCTGGCTTGAATCTTCAACCATCAATAAAAAACGTGCAGGTACATATATTGAAGGAGGTTCTTTATAAATTATTTCATTTAGCTAGCCAACATAATTTCAATATCAAAACAATCATTTTTCTCCAATTCTTAGCTAGGCATTTTAACAAACATGTTATCTTCAAAATTCACATTAACGATTTTAGTGACCTTTCTTTCACTGGTTTCCTCATTCTTCTCTTCCCATTATCATCATCACCATAATCATCATAATCATAATCATCAACATAATCCAATCCCTCAATTTCCATTGCCGAATAACAAGGAACAGCATTAACACCAACACCAACACCATCATTAACCTTAACCTTATCCTCACTAGAACCTAATGTTATACCATTATCACCATTTTTATTATCACTATCACCTCTTCTCTTTCCCCACAATGGACCAAATCCAGAATAATAATAGAACTCATTGTTATTATTATTCGAACTCGAACCTACCGCTTTCTTTGGTCGGCCTCTTCCGCGTCGCGGCGGCCCCGCAGCAATGCTGTCGCTCTTCAAACCTTTGTCAGCACCATTGCTATTAACCACCTTCTTAATATTATCATCCTCAAGCGCAGTCGTATTAAAATTTTCTATCGGAGGTTTATTAATATCAGCATCTTCAGTTTCCATCTTCGACGCAACACTGTTTATTTATTATAACAAAATTCATTCGAGCAAATAAAGAAGAAAAAGAAAACCCTAATAAGTTTCGAAAGTTAAATAAATAAGTTTACAATTGGGATTTAAGGTTACCTTTCATCAAAAGCTCGATGAAAATCCCGAGTCTTGAAGGTATCTTCATCTTCGAACTAAGAACAAAAAAAATAAATCGAAAATACTGAGAAGATATTTAGAAATGAGAGAGAAAATAGATATCCATAAACCTAATTTGAAGTAAAAAGAGGAGAAAGAAAATGAAAAGATGAAATAATTTTAATGTTTGTGATATATATGTAGAAGAACCATAATGAGATAAAAAAAACCCTAATAGATCTGAAAAAAGAAGAAGAAAAGAGAAGAACCTGGATTGAGTTGTTGGAGTGAAAGGGGATCACATCCCATGGAGACTGGTTAAGCTGGCAGACATGCGTTTGAAAAGTTTCAACTGGAAATGAGCCATTTTTGAGCAATGAGGAAGAACAAGTGTATAGAAGAGGGGAAAGCTTGGCGTTTTTTCGAATCCTCATGAATCTATAATATTATCATTTTCGTGAATGAAAATGGGTTTTATACTGTGTCACTGTGTTGTAGTTGTAGAGTATAGTTTATTATTATTATTTTTATTATTATTTTTATTATTGTTACCTCCTGCAACGGCTAGAAAGAAACCAAACTGACATGTGAATTATATTATAAGAGAAAACATTCATATATAAAATGGTGATTGTTGAATACTGATGTACTTACCATAGAAGAGGAATGCAAAGCTAAGCAAGAGAGAAACATGGGTGCTTGTCGTCATGGCTTTCTTGTGAATTAATGATTTTTTCTTTTCTGTTATAGTTTAGTTTGCTGAGTGATGGATAAAGTTGTTCTCTGCTTCTAGCCATATATATAGGCTTCGATGGCTTGAATTTTCAACCAAATCTATTTCATTTCTTTCTGTCAATAAAAAAGGTACTTATGTGGAACAGTTCTACATAATTTATTTTAGTCTCCAGAATTTCAAGATTAAATCTTACCTAGAAAATATTTAGCCCCCATGTCCAAAGACCTTAGTATCAAATCCTGCGCCTGTTTTATACTGTAATGTTCAATTGGCAATATTAATAACTTTAAACATTCACACGTACGTACTAGTTTTAGATACTACCTACACTTATTTAAAACAGATCAATAAATCTAATATAAAAAATATTCTTAACCAATAACAATATTGTTAGTGAAAAAATATAAATTACTTCAAAGTTTATTACATAGCTGAATAATTAGTGCTCTTACTATAAAAAAAAAACATAAAATAGTTAACCTCCATACTATTAGTTTAAAAGTCAGAGTCGACCCAAACAATTTAGTGGTCCTAATCTATTTTAAAATTAAGTTTTGAATAGATAAAAACATAATGGATTAAGAAAATTATATTTAATTAAAATTATAAATAAAATTAATAAATAGAGAAAAAATGACATGTAAAAATTCTGTAAAAATTTACACTCAAATTTAATTTTTCACATTTTTCTACTCCTACGATTCTTTATTTATAAAAAATTTCATACCATTTAATAAAAGATAATAATTCTTTGAATAATTTCTAGAAACCGCATGGTCACATAATCTATATTATATAATATAGGAAATGAATTGATTAAGTTGTTGATTATGTACCACGCTAAATTTCAAAACAATTACAGGTGGTAGCTTTCTTTAATATTAAAAAAAAAAAACATTTAAAAACTAAAAGCTGGCACTCGAATTGTCAAAATACACTCTACACCGCATGGCTATACAACAATAATTTCTAAAATTTAGCATAAACATTATATATTGTTTAATTTTGTATTTATATTAGACCCATTAATTAAATTTGGATGCCCATGCGATGACACTCTTTGCACACCCACAAGACCGGTCATACCTAGAGCCGGCCCAACATATAATAAAGCCTAAGTGAATTCTAAAATAATTTTTTTTTATCAATGATTATACTTTTGTCTAAAAATTTAACTTGCAAAAAAAAATTATTTATTAAATTATTATTATTATTTTTGTTTAATTAATATATTTTTAATTTTAACTTCCTTTTTTTAATAATTTTTCCTTTCACACCATCATCAAATATAACATAATTGTTGTAATAAGGTTTGGTGTCTTTTAGATAGTTTCTTTCACCCGTCATGTGTCTACAACAATTGCTGTCAAAGTATTAGTCTTCGTGAGATGAGATTCTGAGGCAGGTAAATGCAACATGAACCACAATTTTTGGCTTGCCACGTTAGAGCCATTGAGGATGTAGATTAGACTTCACATTTCTTTGAGGATATAGTTGTTTGTAATGCAGTTGTTTACCATACAATATATAACACTAAGGTCGAATGTGAGCAAGTGTATCACACTAATGACATACCCAAATGGGTATGATATGCTGGTAATAATGTTTGGTAGGTTGTTGTGACGATTTACTTGACATCTTGGTTTCTACTTTATGTATAGCAAAAAAAAAACAAAGTGTTTAGGTTGGCCGGTTCACCAATATTTCAAATTTCCTTCATGTCCTTTAATATTTTTTCCATACCTGAAATGGCAACAAGATTCTCAGCTCAAAAATTCAATATGTGAATATATTTTTCCACTCCTTCAAGTTCAAAATTGAGATGCCTAACTTATTTTTTTATTTGCGAAATGGTGAGCATGCGATGAGTCTTGTCTTGAAATATGACTTTAATCCTTTACTTATGCTTTTCAATAACTTGTGATTCTTCAGTCCACTTAAGATGCATAGCCTTATAAGATTCAACAAAAGCATCATTAAATAGATCATCGTCATTGTAATTCCCATTATTATTTGGGACTATATTATCATTAGTAAGTCAGACTTGAAACTTTCTTTGAAGCAATTAGTAAATTCTACAACAAAGATTATTTGATCAAACTTACTTTCTTTGTCTGATTCATCATTAAAGCAAATGACATTGTATCCTTTTCTTTGTTTCCAAGGATAATTTAGACAATACACCTAAATGTATCAAAATCCTTGGCATTCTCTACATTGAATCCCTTTGCCTCTATTGACTTTTTGTATTTCACCATGTTTTGCTTTATCGCTAAAAGTTACCACCTTTTAAATTCTGATGTTGATAGTCTTTGATATTAGTAGAAACATTATTCCTTGATCTTCTATCAAGTCTTCTCATGACCTTGCTAAAGTTCTTAGCAGGCATGATAATGGATTCAGTTAGATTTTCACTAGTGTGTTGATCTACTTGGTCTTCATAGTAGACAATATCCATTTTGACATCCTTACTCTTTTAATTGAATTTGTCATCAATTGACATCTCAATTAATTAATTAATTAATTAATTTTGTATTATATGTTATATAATTAATTAATCAATGGACAATATCATTTATAACTCATAACATAATATTAGGAGGAGTTGTCGCATCGCTGCGAAAAAGGGTCGGCAAAGATAGAAGATTCGCCACCGTTCGTTATTTATCCCAAAGAGAGAGAAAGGAAACGATCAGAGAAAACCTACAAAAAAGGGAAAAGATAGGTCAACGCAACCAAATCTTGGGTTTGGGAGTCGGTTACGCAAGGGGAAGGTATGAGCACCCCTCACGTCCGTTGTACTCAATGGGATCCACGCTTGTTGTCTATCTAAAAAGGTGTTAATTTATCAAAAGGCTGGCTCACAGGGACAAAAGAAAAGAAAAGAGACTCGATAGAGCATCGCCACTTTATGCCTACGTATTCCCTCGTGCAATGGAAAAGTTAGAGTCAACGTAGTTCGGAAAACTACAGGTGAAGGTGGGGAAGGTTGCTCGCCAAGACATCACCGTCTTGTACCTACGTATCCTCATCTGGTACGAGAAATCAGAGCAAACATAGTTCGGACTGACGCAACCACATATTGGTTCAAGTTTTTTAACTGAGTAGGGTTAAACCTTCGTTCTAGCAGTTAGGTGTGTTGCTGCTCGACCATTGGAGACTTAGGCGTTACCTGTTTGCGGTAGAATCAAGACTTAACACACTCTTTCTGAAAATGATTTTAAACAATCCCGAAGGATGAAAAGATTTGATGTTTTGTTTTGTGTTTTTTATGAAGAAGTGAATTGAGTCAAGTTTGTAACTCATGTTGCACTAAAGACTATGACTTGAGAGTGAATGTGTCGCATATCGCCCAAAGGGCATACGCTAAACACTCTAGACAGATTGAGAGGAGGCTCCCCAACTATCATTCCTCAAGTACTTAAGGCTCGTAGCGTATAACATTTATTATCCTTTATTAAGTGTCTTAAGATGTTAAGAGATGAGAAAAGAAGACACAAACTCTAAGGGGAAACTAAATCAACCCTAATTGTATCATGCAATGTGATCCTAAAGTTGGGATTAAGAGGGGAAGAATATATCCTAATGTTATCATGCAAAGGATTGAACACCTAATGTCTCTCCTACTCCCATCTTAAACAGAGGGACTAGGAACCCTAAGGTATCATGACAAAAGACCAAGTAAACACTCAATGTATCAATCACAGATGAAATGAAGAATGAGGAGAAGTTGACTTAAACAAGTCAATGCAAATGCAAACATGATATGCAAAGGTGCAAATATGAGAAGTAAGAATCAATGATGCAACAAAGACAAATGATCAAAATAAGTTGACTTAAACAAGTCAAAAAGAGTGAGATAAAATGGGAGAAGTAACAAGTCCTACAACCATTCAAACATCAATCACTTAAGCAAAGCTAAACAAAAAGCAAAACTAAAAGGCCATGATCAAAGAGAATATGGGAGAAAGAAAATTGGGCAGCAAGCACATATAAAGTATCTCAACCAAACAATTCAAATTGATCATGTAAAAGAAAGGAGCAAACAAGTGCTAAAAGAGATGCATCATTCAAGGCACACTCAAAGCATAAACATGAACACCAAATCACCTTAAATGATGATCAAAGCAAGAAGGGCAGAAGAGAATCCAAGAGAGAAAAGCTCAAATCAAGGTTAAGAACAAAGCACAAGCAAGAACCAATTCAAGGCAAATGGAAGAACCAAAGTTGTATCTCAAATTCAACACTTAAAGACAAATGGAAATGCCTAACTTACAAGTAACTTGTGAAACAAGTTACACAAATGTATGACGTAAAACCAAGGAACCAACACCTTAATCATGTTATAAACAAGTATCAAGACTTATAGGGTTCATATGGGATCATTAGAAGTCATTTCCCAAAGGAACTAGGTCAAACTAGTTTGTATGAACATCTTTTAAGATGACTTTACTTGCAAGCTTCATCAAAAATAGGTAGATTGTTCAATAAATTCCAAATAAAAAGAACAAAGTAGCCAAGCCAAAGGGCAAACAGAAACCAAAGTTTCAAAGTCATATCCATCTCAAGGCATCACAAAACAATTCAATTGTTAAGGATGTTCCACCTTATCGAGCATTAATCGAGGGGCATTAAAAATCAACTCAAAGTCAAATGAAAAATGATCAATGGCCATTCAAATTCATCCTCAAAGATGCC